ACTACAATCAAGCTTATAATGAAGACGTACATCTTCCAGATGACTGGTAGCTTAGAGGGATTATGATTATTCGAGCTGGAGCTAACCCCGCAGATTTTAAACTGTTTTTAAAATTTTAAAAGTTTCCCACGCATTACTTTCAATTTTCAAAACAGACTTTATTTTCAAATTAAACATCAATGTCGTCAGCATGCTCTATATTCTCATAAGCATGCTACAATAAGCCAATCAGAATCCTTGTTAGAATGGTTCAAATAATTTGACTGGTTGAACAAGACTTAAATCGTCAAAAGTGTCAAACCATCTCAGTTCACAATCTGCAATAGTTTATAATCTGAAATATTTCGGCAGGTCGAATTTAACACTTTTGCCAAAGCTTTCCAGTTTTAATACGGAATCTGAAAGTGAAATATTCAGTGAAATCCGGCCGAATTGTGGCTCATAAAAAACCTGCAAGTTTTTTCTCATGACAATTAGAAAACAAACTGCTCAAGATGTGTGTTTTATGAATGAACGACAGCCGAATTCACAGGAACATGAAGATTGCTCGAGATGACAGCGCCGTTAAACTCGGTTGCTGTGACTGATGTGGAAATCCACTTAATGCATCGGAAAGGATATCAGAGCAAGCTCTTAGTTGTTCACTCGAAGGGGGGCTGATGTAACTGCTGAGGCTTGCTTTACTGCGATGATCAGAGATCGCCATGATGAGCTAGCTGCGATGGACCTCAGCATGATCGCAATCGCTCTGAGACCGTCGTGATTTGTATGAATTGTAACAGTTATGCCGGTTTGGTTAATTTTTGATCATTCTTGTTTTTTTATGTATCGTTTTTAAACACGGAACTATATATCATATACGAGTGTTAGCTGTGTTTGGTTTTTATCACCGCACGTAACTAAGCTTACGTATAATCTAACTGAGCGTGAAAACCTTCAAAACTCAGGCTGTTACGATTTCGTTTTCTCTTTGAGGATTTCTGTCTCTGCTCACGTTAAAATAACGTCAATTGCAGCGCCTGGCATGTTTACAAACCTTTGTTTTGTTCTTCTGTTGCTACTTGCCGGCTCGTTTGTTCCGAAATTTCATTTCAATTACCGAAAAAAAGCAAGAGAAAAGTACGGGAAATGGTGGAACATAGTACAAATTGGTAGATGGCGTGACTCAACTCTGTCTTTTGTACCCTGATAGAGCGCTCTTTCAACAAATGACAGCGCGCTTTATCTCCGATCTTGATTATAATACCTGTCATAGCGTTGATAACAACCACGTTATGGCCTCTGATGTGTGGAGAATAATCTTTGCCATTCACTTTGATGTAAGCAATGCCACAAGAGTTTTCTGCAATTCCTAGATCCTCGCAACCTTCACTGCGGATGAATACTCTCACCACGGGAGCTTATTATTAAAATCATGAGACAAAAATGAAAGCTAATTTTCCTTTTTTCAACCATAAATATAAATGAACTTATTATAAAGAACAGGAGTCTTGGTTTCACTCTGCTACAACATACAGTGAGTAGAAGTAATGTTTGTAATGTTACTTTATCGCCCAGTATTATTCATAATATTTATTTCTATATCTAGGTGGATATAAGGGCATGTCCGAGAAAAAAAATGTTTTGCCTAAAGGTGAAATATTTTGGTCACAGAGTTGATTTTGGATACTTTTGGAGTAACAAATGTGTTATACTTTAATTAAACATCCAGCCAGCCGGGCCGCAACAGAACAGTTTTATGCTTCACGTACGCCTCCGTTTGTGAGATTCTGCATGTGTTCTCTCGCCACTTTATGTTTTGTTTAAGTTTGTTCTCGACAAGTTCCGCTAACTTCATGACTCATTTATAACAAAGTCAGTAACATTATCCTACGCCTCGAGCTGTCAAAAGGAGGCAACCAGTAATGATTATGCATTTTAATTTGTCTAAAAAGGTGTGAATACGTAACAGGCAAAATCTTCTGACCACTTACGCATTTGGCACCGTGTTCCTTGGTATCCCGGATGACACTGAGCGCTCTTAGTGGGTCGCCTTTGCTCACGAGAAATATCCATGCAGGAAGTCTGACATGATTAATACAAAAATAAGGAAAGTTGATTTGTTTCCCGTTGCTTTATTGACATTGCATGAAGACAAAAAGAAAATTTGCTTATCCATCTCATTCTTGGAGAATTTTTTCAATTGTGTTCTCTTTATACAGTACAAAGTGGATAACAAACATTTAGCTCTGGTCACGTTACATAACGTGAAAGTATTTATGATGAAGAATAGCCGTTCAAAATAAAATATTTTTTCAAACTAAAGAACTAGTAAGGACGTTAATACAGATGCCGAGAACATACCAAAAACATTGTCAACCCAAGACTAAGAGATGAAGGATACCTAATAATTTGAATCAGGCTCCAAAGTTATTATTAACAGCTGACATCATCAACTCGTGCTTCAACAAGTTATCTTCGCAGAAACACAGCGGTTATAGGTATATAACACATATGTTCAACTTATGCTCAACGTTACGTCTGTACAAATTAAGCAAATACCCTCTTGTAATTCTCAGCTCTCAGATGGATAAGGAGAATGAAAAAACCAATAAAGTTCTGAATTTAGCTGGTTTGTAACTTAAAAAAATAATTGAGAAGGTTTTATGCCCAAAACGCGAGAAGAAATGAAAGTAACCATTTTTGCTTCGCCCTCAACAGCCAAATTCAATGGTCGTGTGAAATAAAGAGCTATGTTTTTTTGCACTCAGGAGGCTAGAATTGTCACGCTAATCACGCTCAAAACTATTAATTTACCGAATACCTTCGGCATCTTGGCAATTAACTACGGGAACTATAAAACTTAGTACCAACCTGAGCAGAGCTATAGTATGTAGATCCTATCCTTTGTCTAAAATCCTCTGGCTTCATCTGCCGCGTTTTATCATTCAACTCACAGATACG